CTCTCTCTCTCACTCAAAATAAATATAAATAAACTTATAAAAAAGAACTGAATAAAAACTGAGAGGTTTTTTTAAATAATAAAATACAAGATTTCTCTTAATGCAGAAGTCTGAATTTGGCCTGAAATTCCATCAACTTGGAATGCCTTGAATAGATTAAGCTTTTTTTTTTTTAGTTTTATTTATTTAATAATCTCTGTACCCAACTTGGGGCTCGAACTCACAACCCTGAGATCATAAGTCACATGCTTCTCCTACTGAGCCAGCTAGGCTCCCCTAAATTAGGCTTTTAAAAATGCAAATGCCAGGGCAGCTGGATAGCTCAGTTGGTTAGGTGTCCAACTCTTGATTTCAGCTCAGGTCATGATCTCATGGTTTCGTGAGTTTGAGGCCCACATTGGGTTCTGTGCTGGTGGTGCAGAGCTTGCTTGGGATTCTCTCTCTCTACCCCTCCGCTGCTCACGCTGTCTCTGTCTCTCTCAAAATAAATAAACTTAAAAAAAATTTAATGCAAATGCCAGTTAAATCCGATTGCTTTATTCGTAATTCTTAAATGAGACTGATGTATACCGAAGGACTGAACAGATGTTTTTGGGTTTGGAATTTGTCAAGAGGTAAGAGAAGCCGCTCTTTCTCCCAAGCCCCTGGTACCCTCTCCCTGCTGTAACATGGCTATTTCCACCCAGTCTTAGCAGCTGCTCTCCACTGTGGATTCATAAATGATGAGACTCATGCCACCAAAGGAGTGCCACAGGCCACCCCACTTGATATCTTGTCCCAGTCCCTTTTCCTCTGTTAGAGAAGACCGAGCCATGCCTCTCCGTCTCCATTCCCATCTCAGGGCCTCACAGTGTATGGGGGACAGCAGGGTTCCTGCATGTGGTTAGGAGCACAGACAGCTTTTGGAGTGGAACATATCTGGAATCAGATCTCTGCTGTACCTCTTATCACCTGCACAGCATTCGAACAGGTTTCTTTCTCAAAGCCTCGGTGTTATCATCTGGAAAGTGGATGCATTTCTCTTATCCACAGAGTTGCTTCACTGCAAGTGAAGTGCTTAGTATGGGTTAAGCACTCAGTAAACGGTAGTTGTTGGTACAGCTGCAATTGTATAGCTCTGTTGACATTTATTTTTTTTAATGTCTTATTTATTTTTGAGAGAGAGAGACAGAGCATGAGTGGGGGAGGGGCAGAGAAAGAGAGGAGACACAGAATCTTAAACAGGCTCCAGGCTCTGAGCTGTCAGCACAGAGCCCGTCGCAGGGCTCAATCTCAGGAACAACGAGATCATGACCTAGGCTGAAGTCAGACATTCAACCAACTGAGCCACCCAGGCGCCCCTCCATTGACATTTTAAACTGCAGTGTCTCTGACCACTCCACTCATCCCTTCCCCAGGTTGCCACGTCTGTTATGCAGCCTCACTGAATCCTGCAGTCCAGGCAACATTCTCCGTGTGAAGGAGAAAATAGCTGCCCACGGCCCTGAGGTCACATGCTTTCGAATTCACAACTTTAGAGTCCGTATTTCTTTCCAGGTTTCTCAGGAAGACCCCAAGGACTAGCCCGAGTCTGGGTTCAAGGGGGGTGGGGTGTGTTCCAGGAGGACAGCTGGACTGAGACAGGAAATGCCCAGAGGCAGGTGCTCTCTCTCAAGAGAAGGTAGTGTTTATGCATCTGTTGCTCGAAACTCTTAGAGCAGATATTCTGTGAAATGGCTTTTCCGAAGTCCAGGGTAGCCATTGCTTTGATTGGCTTTTAATGAATCGTTTACAGCACAGCTATTTTGTCGCAAGTGTAATTTGGACTGCTGCTCCCTGTGTCATGGGTGGGAGGAGGGGGATGCCGAGCTCTTGTTCTCATCATTCCTTATTTACAAGGAAGAAATTTAGATTAAATGACGCATCCAAGGTCAAGCATGTAAAAATGGTGAAGACAGCAAACCAAATGTCTGCCTTTTAAACTGTCCAGCATCTCTTCCCCACTTATTCCTGCAGCGGCATTGCCCTCCTTCCACTTCCTACCCTCAACGGGGGCACCCTCCCCCGCCCCATCCTCCCGGCAGCCTGGACCCTGGGGCCCTGCATCAGGCCTCCCCAGGATTTTCCCTTTTAGAAAGGGGAGGGGTGGTTTACTCTTCCCTTAGTCCTTCCCTCAGAGAGCCTTTTCCTTCCCACCCTGTCCCTTAGTGTTCCTTCTCCAGTAGCCCCGGACTTTGCATCTCCACTTAGCAGTTTGTTCTCCGCCATCAGGAAGTAACCCTCACGAGGACAAGGACTTGCTCATCGTCTTTCTTGCGGCAGCCTCTGGCCTGGTGTGCTTTGTACATATTGGGTATTCACATAGTCCATGTTTGTTGACCGAATGAGTGACTCCCTTGAATCATCCGAGGCTGTAAGACTGTGACCCCAGGGCACACGGTACCTGGCCTGTACATCTTTGCCGTACCGGCCAAGAGGCTGCGGGAGGAGGAAGAGAAGGCGTGGGTGCCTGAGGAGCTAGCTCCACTCCTCCTCCTATGTGGGCCCCATGTGCGCCTTCAGGATTCCCTCATTGTCCAAGGCCAGTGAGGATTGAGTTTATTATGTGCCTGGTCTCAGCACTGCCAGCCCACAGCTGTATCCAGCTGTTTAGAGCCGACTGAAGGCAGTGGGACATACTGGCTAAGGGCACAGAAACTTGAGTCAGGTGCCTACCCTGTCACATCCAGTTTGCGTCCCAATGACAGAGTTTCAAAATTTTTTTTTTAATGTTTTATTTATTTTTAGGAGAGAGAGAGAGACGGCGTGAGCAGGGGAGGGTCAGAGAGAGAGGGAGTCACAGGCTGAAACAGGCTCCAGGCTCTGAGCTGGCAGTCAGCACAGAGCCCGATGCGGGGCTCGAACCCACGAACTGCGAGATCATGACCTAAGCGAAAGTCGGACGCTTAACCGACTAAGCCACCCAGGCGCCCCCGATGACAGAGTTTCATAACCTTTCTGTGCCTTGCTCTTACTGTCTGTAAAATGGGAATGACTTCATACGGTTGTTCCTAGGATTAAATGAGATAATCCATGTGAGATCTTTAGCATAGGTGAAGTGCATGCTGAGTGTTTGATCAAGGCTGGCTGCTAGTGGGTACTAAGTACTGTATTGTGTACTGTAATATGAAATACATGTTGTTTATTCTATCCCTGTCACATGACTCTGGGTTGCTAGGTCTGCTTCCTCTGTGTCCCTTACCCTGCCCCATCTGGCACCGATCATTGACGGGGAAGAGCTTGGAGGCAGGTATGAGTGCAAACCCAGAAGGTTTGGGGGGAGTCCAGCCTATAATTCTAATTGTTCTCTGTAGAGGGAGGATGCTTTAGTATGAGATTTATGTGAGCTCATCAGTTTCAGTTTGGACCTGGTGACTTCCATAGGGCAAAATCAGAGAGAATACGTGTCACCACTGAGACTTGCCTGACTCCTTCTCTGGGAAACAGAGCTCCGACCAGTGGGGATGGAAGAGGACAGCATCTGGGCACCTGGGTCATGATCTCACGGTTCGTGGGTTCGAGCTCCGCGTCGGGCTCTGTGCTGACAGTTTGGAGCCTGGAGCCTGCTTCAGATTCTGTGTCTCCCTGTCTCTCTGACCCTCCCCTGCTCACACTGCCCCTCTCTCTCTCTCTCTCAGAAATAAATAAAACATTAAAAAGAAAGGAAAAGGACAGTATCTGAAATGGGTGCTGGGAGGTAACAGGACCAGACTTGAGTCTTGTTTTTGGCCGCCTCAAGGGACAGGGCTGGGCTAGAGGGTGGACACTGGGGTCAGCTTTTAGTTCCTTGTACAGGCAATGGAAACAGCTCCCCAGCCTTCACCACCTCTCCACAGCAGTGCACAAGCGCCGGCAACAAGTGGGCCCGCCCCACTGCACTCCTACCCATTGAATAAATTGCAAGCTCAGTAAATAAAGTAATTTTTAAGTAAGTAATCCACTGTATAAACCAATGAAATATGACATATCCTCTGTGGGAAAAATGTGACTGTCAAATTTCATATGGGCAAAACCAATGTAAAAATTTAGGGGAAGATGTCAGTAGTCAAGAAGTTCTCTGCTCAAGTTACTTTGTAAGCGGCAAGTGCTTGCTCTCCTTTAAAGAAAAAGAAATAGGAAATCGTAGAGAACACTTTTGTAGGTAGGGTCCCTCAGGAGAACAAATGGACTGACAGGGTCAAAAACCAGCTTTGTCCTTGGCAGAGAAATGCACATTTGTATCTTAAAATATTTCTGGTCTATAGAATTTTTTGACATGTAAATTATTATAGTTACATATTAATAGTGTATATTAGCATATGTATATAATACTTTTTAAATGAATTCCCTTTGAATGGACTGTTCCATCCACCAACTAACTACTGATGACGTCCAGGTGAGTGAGTTTCTAAGGTTCTGACAAATAAGCTTTGCTGACTCATAGAAGACAGGTCTATCAGCTTTGTTTCCTAAGACTGGAATTCATGACACACAGCTGTGTTAATAAAACTATGTTGATAACAGTGTTACCAAAATAACCTGTATCTTTGGATTCCATTTCTAATAAATAGTGTCGTCTTATAGTTAAACTGACCTTTCAGATTTCTGGTCCCATGGCTTTCACTCTGCCCTCTGAATGCTGTGTGGACATAACTGAAACTGTGGGTTCCTTTGTAGGAGCTCAAAGACGACCCAGGGTTGTGTGAGCCCGAGTCCACATGAGGGGAGTGGAGACCAGGAGTAGGGGGCTAGCTGGGAACTGGGATGGGCCATTCGAACCTTGGGGTTTGCTATGGTGGAAACATTTTGACTTCTAGACATCAGGTACCCAGGTGCAAACATGAGACCAAAGATCCCTCTAAAGCCTGGTGACCTTCTAACTTCCTGTGATTTCAGATGTCCGAGTGTTGTTACCTGCTGCTCACACTGATAGTTGAGAATTTACTGCACTAACGCATTAGCCCGCCACAACCTAAAGATCCCTGGCTTTCTTGTTTTCACAGGTGTTGGGGCGATGTTTCCTGACAGTGGTGCAGGTCCATTTCCAGTTTTTGACCCAGGCACTACAGAAGGTCCAGCCTGTGGCTCACTCCTGCTTTGCCGAGGTGGTTGTGCCAGAAAAAAAGAACGGTGGCGGCGGCTTATCTGGCATGAGCCACACACCCGAATTGGAGGAAGCCGTGCGATCCTGGCGGGGGGCTGCTGAGGTAACCCTGCCTGGGGGAGATTGGTGCCCTGTGTTCAAATAGGAGAGGCTCCAGAGGACCTTTGCCTGTTGGTTCCTAAAAGGGGCATTTTATTTAGAAATTTTAGTTTTAAACTGTTATCATTAGCTTGTTCATTCATTTGACAGTGAATGCTTTTGTGAATGCCAACCTTGTGCCAGGCATGCGCCAGGCACTGGGGTGACAGCCTCTGCCCACAGTCTCCTAAGAGGAAGGGCCTACGGGAACAGGGTTAGAGGGCTGTGATGGCGTGCAGGAGCCCAAAGAAAGGGCCCCGTCTCTGACTAGGAGCAGTGCAGCAAAGGTTCAGGAAGACGGACCAGGAAGAAGGGGCTGGAGCCGAAGTCTGGAAAGACAGGCCAGAGCTGCCTGCAGGGAGTAAGCAGCCAGCCAGGAGCCAGGTGGGGATGTGGTCAGTGACATCACATTTCTTATAGGTACTTTGTTTTCTTTTGTTGTTAATTTATTTAAGTAATCTCTACACCCAACATGTGGCTCAAACTCACGACCCCATGATAAAGAGCCACATGCTCTTCCGACTGAGGCGCCCCACATAATCTTCTTTTTATTATTATTTTTAAAAATTTATTATTTTTTAAAATTTTACTTAAATCCAAGCTAGTTCACATATAGTGTAGTATTGGCTTCAGGAGTAGAAATCAGTGATTCACCACTTACATATAATACCCCGTGCTTATCCCAACAAGTGCCCTCCTTAATGCCCGTTACTTAGCCCATCCTCCCACCCAACACCTCTCCATTAAACTTCAGTTTGTTCTCGGTATTTAAGAATCTCTTAAAAAAATTTTTTTTAATGTTTTATTTATTTTTGAGAGAGAAAGACAGCGTGAGCAGGAGAGGGTCAGAGAGCGAGGGAGATACAGAATCCAAAGACAGGCTCCAGGCTCTGAGCTAGGTGTCAGCACAGAGTCCGATGCGGGGCTCGAACCCATGAACTGTGAGATCATGACCTGAGCCGGTTGGGCGCTTAACTGACTGAGCCACCCAGGCACCCCTAAAAAAATTTTTTTAATGTTTATTTATTTTTGAGAGAGACAGTATGAGTGGGAGAAGGGCAGAGAGAGAGGGAGATGCAGAATCTGAAGCAGGCTCCAGGCTCCAAGCTGTTAGCACAGAACCTGACATGGGGCTCAAACTCATGAACTGCAAGATCATGACCTGAGCTGAAGTCAGATGCTTAACCAACTGAGCCACCTAGGCGCCCCAGTACGAGTCACTTATGGTTTGCCTCCCTCCCTGTCTTTATCTTATTTTTCCTTCCCTTCCCCATTGCTCATTTGTTTTTGTTGCTTAAATTCCACAAATGAGTGAAATCATATATATATCTTCCTCTCACTGATTTATTTCACTTAGCATAATATGCTCTAGTTCCAGCCATGTTGTTGCAAGTGGCAAGATTTTATTCTTTTTAATTGCTGAATAATATTCCTGTGTGTGCGTGTGTGTGTGTGTGTGTGTGTGTGTGTGTGTGTGTGTGTACACCACATCATCTTTATCCATTCATCAGTCAATGGATATTTGGGCTCTTATCCATCAGTCAATGGATATTTGGAAAGAGTACTTTATCAATAAAAGCACTATTATTGATAGTGCTGCTGTAAACATCGAGGTGCATGTGCCCCTTTGAATAAACACCTTGTAGTGCAATTGCTGGGTCATAGGATAGTTCTTTTTTAAATTTTTTTGAGGCACTTCCATACTGTTTTCAGAGTGGCTGCACCAGTTTGCATTCCCATTTAGCCACCAACAGTGCCAAAGTTCCCCTTTGTCTGCATCCTCGCCAACATCTGTTGTTGCCTGAGTTGTTAATTTTAGCCATTCTGACAGGTGTGAGGTGGTAACTCATTGTGGTTTTGATATGTGTTTTCCCTGATGATGAGTGATGTTGAGCATCTTTTCATGTGTCTGTGAGCCATCTGGATGTCGTCTTTGGAAAAATATCTGTTCATGTCTTTTGCCCATTTCTTCACTAGATTATTTGTTTTTTTGGTGTTTCCACGGTGGTCCAGGGGGCGGGTGGAAAAGTCTTCCAAGTCAAGATTTTTTAACTAGGACTTTTTGATCCATTTAAGAGTCAAAAAGATAATTTATAGTTAAGGAGTGTAGTATTAATTTCTTATATAATTTTTAGTTTGAATCCTTCCGTAATTAAGTTGGCAAAGTATTTCATTTCATGTTTGTTTATTTTTTAATTTTTTTTAATGTTTTATTTATTTCTGAGAGAAAGAGACAGTGTGAGAAGGGGAGGATCAGAGAGAGAGGGAGACACAGAATCTGAAACAGGCTCCAAGCTCTGAGCTAGCTGTCAGCACAGAGCCCGACACAGGGCTCGAATCCACGAACCGTGAGATCATGACCTGAGCCGGTCGGCCGCCCAACTAACTGAGCCACCCAGGCGCCCCTCATTTCATGTTTTAGAAATCTCCTTTAATCAAAGTTTTAAATATGATTTACATACTTTGTACGTTCTCTAATTTTCTTATTATTTCAGTTTTATGCTCTTGTTATTTCTTTTTAATTCTTTTCAGTTTCTTTTTCTTGTTTGTTTTGGTCTCTCTTTCATGTTAAGGGCTTTCCTCTGCCTCTCAGTGTTTGTCAGAGCAGCCCTGAAATGCTAAGTGGGGTCAAATGTGGAAGTGGGACCTGCTGGGCTCCAGCCTCCTGATCATGCAGCTCATACCCTTAATGAGCTCATGCCCTTATTCACACCCTTAATACTGGGCGCACAGTCTTTTCCTTTTGACACCATCATGCTCTCCTGTTTACACCATCGTGCTGAGAAACCAGGGTCTGCCCTGTCCCCACCTTCCCCCACCCTCAGGGCCTGTGTGGTGGAGCCCTGTGTTTTCTCTCCCTCCTCTTCAGCATGTGCCCCCCTGCAACTACGTGAACAGGCATGCAAACACAGAAATCCTTGCTGTCCTGCCCGGTTTCTCTGCTCTTTTCACAGCTACTTCTTGGAAGAATTGTCCACCTTACCTTTGAGCCATTCTAAAAAAGATTATTATGCAACCTTTCAGGCATATAGGAAATGTCACACATACCCTCTGTCTGCCTGTTTAGCTTTGTCAAGTGAATCTTCTTGTCAGTTACTGCATACCATTTAATTATTTATTTATTTGCTCACTTACTTATTTTTAAGTAGGCTCTATGCCCAGTGCAGGGTTTGAACTCACAACTCCGAGATCAAAGTCGTATGCTGTACAGTCTGAGTCAGCCACACATCCCATTCATGCTGTTTATTTTTAACAGAAAAAAATACTATTTACAAATGCAGCTAAATTTCCTTTGTACCTTTTTACTGTCTTACTCACATCTCTTCCTTTGTAGAGACAATTTCTATTGAATTTGGAGTTTGTGAGTCCTATGCATATTTTTATATTTTTACTCTGTATACATGTATCCATAAATAAGTATAAGGTATTATTTTGCACAGCATGAAACTTTATATAAATGGCATCATTCAGCTCACTGAAATCTGGCTTCCGCTCCTACACAAGAACAAGCATCCTCAAGGGCGCCTGGGTGGCTCGGCTGAGCGTCCAACTCTTGATTTCAGCTCAGGTCATGATCTCACAGGTCATGGGATTGAGCCCTGCATCAGGCTCTGTGCTAAGAACGCAGAGCCTGCTTGGGATTCATTCTCTCTCTCTCTCTCTCTCTCTCTCTCTCTCTCTCTCTCTCTTTTTCTCCCTCTGTGTCTTTCTCTTTGCTCACATTCAAGCTCGTACTCTTTCTCTCTCTCTCAATATAGATAAATAAACATAAAAAATAATAATAACAGGCATTCTCTTGTCAAAGTCACCAGTGCCTCTGTGTGGCCAAATCCAAGGAACCATTTGACTCCATTCAGCAGCTCACAGGCCCTTAGAGATCCTGTCTTCCTGTGGCATCCCTGAACCGGCCATTAATCTCTCAGGCCATCCTCTCCATCTACTTTGCTAGCTTCAGCACAGCTTATGAATGTCAGTTTCTCAATGCTCATTTCTGGGTGCCCCCCCAGCCCCCGTCAGGTCACCATGTAGCCTTGGGACTTAAGAACTGTCTGTGTGCTGGTGACCCTCACATATGTGTGATCAGTCCACTTCTGTGGCCTCCGGGCCACACAGAATTTTTAATTGCTTTTTAATTGCTGAATAATATTCCTGTGTGTGTGTGTGTACACCACATCATCTTTATCCATTCATCAGTCAGTGGATATATGCACTGCTACTGTGGGGACACCCCTGGTCTTCCCCAAATCTTCCCCATACTAGCAAGTGCTGCCGTCCCACACTGGGTCATTCGTGCATGAAACTGAAGATTTATCCTCCTGTCTTTCCATCACATCTACATGAAGTCCATAAGCCCTGCAGGTTCTACTCCCAAAGTATTACTCCACATCTGTCCCTTTCTGTCACTGCACTAGCTCAGGGAATCCCTACTCTCCCTTGACGCCTGCAGTGGCTAGGCTCCCTTCCCCCCTCCCTGTCTTGCCATCCTTCATCTCCCTCCATTTAAAGTTGGATGATGTTGCTGTTCCCTTAGGGTAAAGTACTGACCCTTCACCATGACCTCCCTAGTCCCACGTAGTCTGGTTCCTGCCTTGCTCACCAGCCTCGTCTGTGGCCTCTCTCTCCCTTGCTCACTGGGTTCTATTTTCTTTGCTGACATGTCTGTTCACCCATCCCACACTTATTTTCTTTTAACTTTGTTCATGTTTGTTTATTTTTGAGAGAGAGAGAGAGACAGAGACAGAGCATAAGTGGGGAGGGGTAGAGAGGGAGACCGAATCTGAAGCAGGTTCCAGGCTTCGAGCTGTCAGCACAGAGTCCAGTGCAGGGCTCAAACCCACGAACCATGAGATCATGACCTGAGCTGAAGTTGGACACTTAACTGACTGAGTCACCCAGGCGCCCCCACCCATCCCACACTTCTGCTGACTTCCTCCTCCACCTTAAACTCCTAACCTAGATGCTGATTTCTGAATGTCTGGGGTGCCCCCTGTTAACAGTTCTCCCTGTTTTCCTTAGTGTGTTTTTCTCCACTTTAAATGTTTTAAGTGTTTTGTTTGGCCCATGAGGCTGTCAGCTCCAAGATGGTAGGCACCAGCTTTTGTGCTCCATTGCCTAGCCATTGACATGCAACACAAGACCTTCTGGGCTAAATATTTGAGTCAAAGAATCTTAGAGTCAAATAGTTTTAAACTGTAAGACTGGTGGGCCGCCTGGGTGGCTCAATTGGTTAAGCGTCTGACTTCCGCTCAGGTCATGATCTCACGGTTCGTGGGTTTGAGCCCCGCGTCAGGCTCCCGTCAGGCTCCGTGCTGACGCTCAGAGCCTGGAGCCTGTTTTGGATTCTGTGTCTCCCTCTCTCTCTGACCCTGCCCTGCTTGCTCTCTCTCTCTCTCTCTCTCTCAGAAATAAATAAAACATTAAATAAATAAATAAATAAATAAATAAATAAGTAAATAAAAATAAACTGTAAGACTGGATGGAATGGTAGTCATATATACATAATTTGTGAACTTTGGAACTTTATAGCATTGTTTCTGCTAATTACCTTTCTATAGATTTGGTAAACATTGTAACTCCGTCAGCATAAGAACAAAAGAAGAAAGAAGAATAAAACTTAGCTGTTAAAAACTATTATTTGTTGCACAAATATTATTGCAACAAAAATAGACATTGAAAAATTGAAGGGCAGTTCATCCTGAATTCCTTCTCCCATTTAAGAAATTAAATATATTTTTTCTGTATTCTGTAGCCCTGACCCCTATGTATAGATAACTTAACATTTCATCACAATAAGACCCTGATTAGATTTTTTTCTCTTTTTTTTCTGTCCTGTTTATGTACTCTTCAGGAACATATTTAATGACCAGACAATAAGTATTTAATTTTTTTGTGCAGATTTCTGAAGTCTTATATTTCCTTTCATATTCCAGAGTGTGTTTTTCCCCTTTTCTGTGTTGGTGTAGCTTTTTACTGTGGTATATAGCAACACCTAACCTTATATGTTCTTTATTATTATTATTGTTATTATTCTGGAAACTCCAAGTGCCAATATTTTAGTTTTTCTGTCTTTAAAAGAGAAATTAAAAATGTGAAGGTTTTACAGGTGCGTCTGGGTGGCTTAGTCGGTTAAGCATCCAACTATTTCAGTTCAGGTCATGATCTCACGGTTCATGAGATCAAGCTCTGCACTGACAGCATGGAACCTGCTTGGGATTCTCTCTCTCTCCTGTCTGCCCCCTCCCCTACTTGTGCCTGCATGCTCTCTCATTCTCTCTCTCAAAAAAAAGTACATTTTAAAATGTAAAAGTTTTACATATAGGAAAAACTAATAACAGGTAGGTAAGTTTTTTTTCCCAGGGTTTCTTTTCTTTTCCTTTTTTTTTCCCTAAGTAGCTTCACACACAGCATGGAGCCCAACGTGGGGCTTCGGTTCATGACGTTGAGATCAAGACCTGAGCTGAGATCAAGAGTCAGACACTTAACCAACTGAACCATCCAGGTGNGATGATGAGTGATATTGAGCATTTTTCCATGTGTCAGTTGGTCATCTGGATGTCTTCTTTGGAGAAGTGTCTATTCATGTCTTTTGTCTATTTCTTCATTATGCCAACTTCACATTTGAATCACCTGGGAAGCTTTGAATAAAATACCAGTGCCTGAGTCCTTCTCTCATCTAATTCACCTGAAATGGGCTCGGGGAACAGTAGTTTTTTTTTTTTTAATGTTTTATTTATTTCTAGGAGAGAGAGAGAGACAGCGTGAGCAGGGGAGGGTCAGAGAGAGAGGGAGTCACAGACTGAAACAGGCTCCAGGCTCTGAGCCGGCAGTCAGCACAGAGCCCGACACGGGGCTCGAACCCACGAACCGCGAGATCATGACCTAAGTGAAAGTCGGACGCTTAACCAACTAAGCCACCCAGGCGCCCCTAAGAGTAGTTTTTGTATATGACTGCAGTTGTTACAAGTTTGTTGTGGTTTTTTTTTTTAATGTTTTATTTATTTTTGAGGGAGAGACAGCGTGAGCAGGGGAGGGTCAGAGAGAGAGGGAGACACAGAATGTGAAGCAGGCTCCAGGCTCTGAGCTGTCAGCACAGAGCCTGAACCCACGAACCGTGAGATCACGACCTGAGCTGAAGTCGGATGCTTAACCGACTGAGCCACCCAGGCGCCCCTGTTTTTTTATTTTTTAAATGTAGCTATGTCTGTTACATTCTCTTGTACCTACCAGTCACTGTTACCATTGCAGGCGACATCCAGACTGAGGGAAAGAGGCTGTGATAGCCGCCTGGCGGGCATTGAAGTGCAGCAGCTCTTCTGTTCTCAGAGTGCGGCCATTCCCGAGCACCAGCTCAAGGAACTGAACTTGAAAATCGACAGCGCTTTGCAAGTAAGTGTTGTTATCTGAGGATGGATAGAAACAAGGAAGGGCGTTCAAGTTGTGAGGTTGAACCAGTTGGAAAGAACAGTAGGCCTAATGTCTTTCAATAACTATAGAAATTTTAAATTTCTGTTGCCACTGGACTTTGTAATTAATTCTATAATCTGCCATATATAATCTTGATTCTTACAATTTCTTCTCAGGCATATAAAATAGCTCTGGAAAGCTTAGGCCACTGTGAATATGCAATGAAAGCTGGTTTCCACCTGAATCCGAAGGCAATTGAAGCCAGTTTACAGGTATGCTTCTCTTTCTGGAAGCTCTTGGGAGCTGTGGTAGGGCAGTCTCGCCGTACCAAGTGACCATACCACACCTGTCTTGGCAGATGTGCCGTGGGTCACCTCCCCTTTCCAAACCTTTTGCAGGGCTGCTGTAGCGAGGCCGAGGCGCAGCAGACAGGGCGAAGGCAGACCCCCCCACAGCCCATGCAGTGTGAGCTCCCCACCGTCCCCGTGCAGATAGGATCACACTTCCTGAAGGGCGTCTCCTTCAACGAATCTGCCGCCGACAACCTGAAACTGAAGACGGTAGCTATCCAGGGTTCCAGCAACTGGGTGTGAACCTGGAAACAGTTCTTAAGGGAAGCCTAAGGGCTTGTAAAGAACATAGATTAAAAACAAAACTGAAGTCAAGGCAGGAGGTATTAGCAAACCGGTGTCTCAAAGCAGACTCTGATGACTTATTTTAATAGACATTTGCCAAGTTTTGTTCCTAATTTTGTTCACATGTTTAACATAAAGTGTTCTGAAAGTATACTATAAAATACTATTCATGATTAATATTTTAGGGCACTTTGGTGAATTAGAGACGAAATCTTGTCATGGTACCACAGTAATTATGACCAGTGTGGGGCATCACGTGAGCCTGGCATCGTGCCAGAGACTCCACATGCATCATCTCATTTAATGCTCACCCAGGAGGTGGGCACTGCTCTTTTCTCCATTTGACAGAGGAACTAAGGCCCAAGGCCACACAGCTACAAAGTAGTAGACTGGAATTTGATGCTATGTAGTCTGTTTCCAGAGCCCGCATACCTGACCACTTGGTCATCCAAAATAAAGTTGAGGTTTTCATTGGTATTTATTTTTACCAGATGATTTTGTCTCCTTATTTAGAGGGATTCAAAATTTCAAAATTCCTCAGCCAATTTGCATCAGCAAATATAATGCTGTATTTTGTGCGAGTATAGACATCACACATGGGTATTAATGTCCGTGTATCTGTATTCTCTGAGGGTGTCTGAGGATAATTACCTAAGAAGTGAAAATGTCGTGATTTCAGGGGGCCTGAAACAAAGTGATCTTTTCCTGAGGACTTTCGTGTACCTGTAAATTCATTTCAGCAAATCGTAGAGTCTCATACAGCTTTATCTTGGGGTGAACTCTCGTCTTCTTGATCCATAGCATACGATGTTGCAGCTGATCAAGGAGGCGGGCTGCTACAACGGGATCACGCCCAGGGACGACCTCCCTGTGACTGAAGTACTGAACCAGGTGTGCCCGTCCACATGGCGGGGCGCCTGTAAGACTGCCGTGCAGCTGCTGTTTGGCCAAGCGGGTCTGGTGAGTGAGGTGTGGGATGCCCCAGGAACAGAGCGGAGAGCCGTGCTTCCCACGTGGGAGGGTGTGGTGCGGGCACAAGTGTGGAAATACTGACTAATTTTCAAAGTTCTTCGGTACCGCAGCATTTAGAGCAAGTGGAGAAGGTAGAGGAAAAGCCTTTTTGTTTTCTTTTATAGACTTGAGAATAGGTATTTGCAGGGAAGCTAGCTGCAAAGTGACATTGCGGGTTTCCTGGAAAGAAACCTTCCTTGAGTGCGAACTTGATGGGGAGGGCCTGTCTGCCCAGCAGCCCGCTCTGGAGCACAGTGCTGTCTTTCTGATGCTCACCCGTGCTGAGCTTCTTCCTGTCGCAGGCCTTTGCCCTCGAGGCTCCTCTTACTTGAGAAGACTCCTCTCTAATCTGCATGTGTCACGTCTTCTCGTCTTCCAGATGTCAGCTTGGACACCACCTCCTCCGAGAAACCTCGATGGTATAAGCGGTGCCCCCCCAGAATCGTCCAGTTACTTTGTATCCCAGCTCTCTGCTTATCTCCTTCTTAAAAATGAAATAACAGCATCAATTCAGAAATAAGTTTTCACCTTGGAAGAGTGACTTTTGTCAAAGTTCGGTGGGATCAGGAGATCAACCTCTGAAATGACCGTTTAGCTTTTTATTTGGCACCTGGGACTCATATAACCTTACAACCTTGATCCCACTTTCTAGAATTAAATGACTACTTTTTTTTTTTTTAATGTTCATATTTATTTCTGAGAGAGAGAGAGGCAGCATGAGCAGGGGAGGGTCAGAGAGAGAGGGAGACACAGAATCCGAAGCAGGCTCCAGGCTCTGAGCTGGCTGTCAGCACAGAGCCCGATGTGGGGCTCGAACCCACAAACCAGGAGATCATGACCTGAGCCAAAGTCGGACACTTATCCGACTGAGCCACCCAGGTGCCCCTAAATGACTACTTTTTGAAAAGATACAGCATTTCGGTCAGAGGTTAATGGAAGGTAACTAGAGATTAAGAAAAATAATTTTTTAAAAACTCTTTCTTTAATTCCTACTTTATTCATAAATGTTGGGAGAATGCTGTTCTTTTGTTTCATGTGGGTGACGGCTCCGGTGGCCCAGCTCAGGGTGGCGCTGCCTTGTGTAGGGCCTGGTGAGGGCCCATCCACAGTGAAGAGTTAGGCTTCCTTTAGGATCTGGCCCTTAATACAGGAACCCCGAAGAGAAGGAGTAAGCTGGAGACCCCCCGCTACAGTATGTGAGAGCCCACTGGCTTTAGGAAATTGATCCATATTCCCAAAGATCATGTTAGCTGAAACTGGAAGAGCCGTGGGGATACGTTCTCCAGAAAGGAGTGGGTAAAATAAGGCAGAAGGACACATAATCTGTTTTGGGAAAACATTGTATGTTTAAAAAATTGAAAAATCCCATGTTCTTAAGAGAGCAGAATCTTCTTCCAGTTCCTTACTCCTTGCTCCCAGGCCACCTTTGTGTGTGACGGACAAAGAAACTTTAGGTTGAGGTTCTGGGTATGGGAGGAGAGAGGAAACACCTGCCTGGTCCAACAATGGCTGTTACTTGGACAGGAAGTCTTTTGCAAAGGACATTGCAGTCCAGCTGTGGGAACTCTTGTTTACAGCAGTGGAAATCAGCTCCATTAGAGGCTGAGTTTGGAATCATAATAAGCAACTCTGCATGGCTTTGAAATATAACAGATAATATATATGTAGATGTGGGTTGTTGTTTTTTGTTTTTTGTTTTTTTAAGTAATCTCTACACTCCACATGGGGCATGCGCTCACGACCCTGAGATCAAGAGTCGGATTACCAAATAAGCCAGCCGGGCAGATTGTTTTTAAAGTGCTTTATGATTTTTTCTTAAATTCTTTTAGTTACTTGAAAACATGGCCATCATTTTGTCAAACTATCTAAATTAATGAGCCACTGTATCATCTGTATAATACTGAAGACTCTCCTCCAGATAAGAAGAAATCATCGAGAGAAGAATCACCTTTACCTTTCTGAACTACTTCTGTTTTTATTGATGGCTGAGGACAAAATGATCTTGTGGAAAAAAACGCTTCATCCACTTCTAGCTTGTATTCATTCATTACAAACGGGCTTTTCTGAAGCTGTGGTTCAATTTTTAATGACGGTTTTACTTCTCTCAAGTGCATAAAGTAAAAACAAAAAATACTAAGAGGAAACAAAACAGTTCCTAATTAACATATTTATAGTTTGGGAAAAGTACTGAAAGTGCTTGCTTGGAAAGTTCAGTACATCTTGCGCTCAGAATTTGGTTTCTGTGTTTTGAAGTGTTCCTGCCTTCAGTCATCTTTATTACTTGGTTTGTCTTCCCAGGGCTCCTGACTGGCCTCCGCTAACTGCCCTGCCCCGGGGGTGGTTCTGGCCAGAGCCACTCAGCATCGCAGGCTTCCGTATTGGATTTGTTTGCGATCCATTTTCCTCTCTGAAAGCTGATTGTTGTTTTTCTCACTCTCTCTTAGGTGGTAGTTGACACAGCACAGATTGAAAATAAAGAAGCCTATGCCCCCCAAATCAGTTTAGAGGGCTCCAGAATTGTGGTTCAAGTCCCGTCCACATGGTAACGTGACTCTTATATTAACACAAGCCTAAGCTCTGATTGAAGTTTGCACATCTTTGAAGAGATTGCTTTGTTTTGGACAAACCCCGTGTTAGGTGACACGTCAGGTCTTGCTACTTGCGCAGGTACATGGGCAGCGATAGTGTGTTCGCATCATGCGTCATGGCTCTCAGTCCACGATAAGGAAGCCAAAGTGCCTGAAAAATAGTCTTATTGACCAGTAATGTAACTAAAATGTTATACACTCCTGGATGATAATGAGCAATGTTATCTTCTCTTTGTTACTGAGTCCATAGCTTTTGAACAGAGTATGTCATTTTCCCTAAGTCACCAGTGTTTCTCTAAAGCTGAGTATGGAACATAAAATTCCTTCTCCTCCTTTTGTTTGTTCCCGTAACAATCCTGATGATCTTGATCTCGTGCCATTACAAATCTGGGGACGGACTGAGCCATTTTTGTTCTTAATTATTTAATTACATTTATGAACTTATAATAAAGTATTCTTCTTAGTTTATCAAAACTCCTGCAAATCAGTAAGACAATGGACAGGTGCATGAATACGTAATCAACAGATAGATGAAGAAAATGTGTAACCTCAGCTAATAAAGGCCGAGGAAAGAAAGAGCATGATGTCATTTTGCCCATTGCGTTGCTAAGTTGTTTTAGAGTAATAAATAAATTTTTAAAATAAAAGATAAAAGTTTGAGCCAGACCATACAGAAACAGGCACAGAAAGTGAATCAGTCACACAGCCTTTCTGGAGGGCGGCTCATCAGAAGCCCTGAAGGAAGAGCTCTGACCCCAGCAGCTCCACAGTACCACCTCTCAGGCTCACCCCAGCGACGTGCAGGGAAATTCAGCTGAAGGATCAGCATCGTAAACTGTATTAATGACAAAAACTGAACGCGTGTTGGCAGACTTTTGTTATTAAGATTATGATATGAATGAGTATTTAACTATACAGAAAATTTTGGAACATTTAGGTAGGAAGAGATGGAGATGATGAGGCGCGATGGCACTCTTGGTGCCCAGATGGACTAAAAATGGTAGCTGGGTAACGCGTTGGGATTGTGTTTAAGTCATTGCTCCTGGAAATACGAGGGCCCAGTGGGAGACTCTGCCCAGAGTTTTAGAACTTCCTGATAAATCAGGTAACGGTTGGCAGTTCCCTTCATGTCCCAATCAAGTTCTTCCTCGCCCCTCCCTGCGCCGCCCCCCCCCCCCCCCCCCCCCCCCCCCCCCCCCCCCCCGCCCACCTTAGAGTTGACTTGTTAATGCGCAGGAGCAGGAGGGGACAGCTAACAAGCATACGAGTTCAGTTCAAGCCATCACACTTGCATGAGGGGAATTAGAGTAGAGCGATGTATGATGGAGAGTAACTGAAACAGCTGGGGGAAGGGAGGCTCTTTTGGATGAAGAGGTCAGTCGTGAGCGGTCCTTCTTTGAAGATCCCACGTTTGAGAGGAAGCGGCTATGCACAGAGCAGATGGGAGAGCGTTTCTCCAGGTAGAAGGAACAGCAAATGCAAAAGTCTGGGGGTGGGGAGGGTGACCTGGCCTGGCTGGAGGTGTGGGAGGTGGTCTTGAAGAGACACAGGGCTTGTAGGGTCCCTGAGGGACTTGGATTTTTATCCAGAGTAGAAGGGCTTTGAGCAAGTCTACGTGATTTGCCAAAAGAATGGCTTTATTCTCTTAAGGGGGTATTAGCGATCAACTCTGGAGATTGATGGATATAATAAAAGTGCCCATTTGTTGATTTTCAGAGAGAGAAATTTTATTCACCAGCAAGTGTAGTACTTCTTTCTGCATGACCAGCAGCAAATGCTCTCCTAGTGGGCAAACATATGTGACCAGCCAAATGACAGCCAAGAGTGGCTTGGGAGCACAGAGCAAGTAGGTCCTAATAATCAGCAGTTCCAGGCTGAGAGAATCAGGTACATGAACCCTGGCCAGGTCCACTGGCCAACATTTTCTCCCCAGAGCCCAGGGGCCGGCTGGCACTGGCAGAGCTTGCCTCTTGCAGCACTTGTGAAGCTGGCCGGCTCATGTCCTCACAGGCGTATTTCCTCGCAAGCCCTGAGTCACACTGCAGAGTGCCACTGCCTCCTTGGGATGGCTTCGCAAGGGTTGATTTCACCATGTAACTGCCAGAGTGCTTAGGAGAAGACAGACCACATTTTCCCGGTTCTGCCTCTCAGAAGAGGCCTCTTGGAGGAGGCTCCCTGAATGGGCCGTGAGGGCCGGATTGGTGGGCGGCAGCTCTCAGGGGAGAGCAGTCTGGGCAGGGGCAGCAAAAGCAAAAGTCCTGAGATGTGGGTAAATCCAACATATGCAGGGAGCGAGCAAAGGCCTTGTGTCTGAGACAAGGTGAACGGAGGTGACAGTGAAGAGAGATGTGGCCGGAGAAGCAGGAGGGACCAGGTCACAAAAACCCCTGAGGGCTGTTGAGAGTTCACGTCAGTCATGATGGGATGCCCCTGGAGGGTTTAAACAAGGAGTCGTGTGTTCTGATCTGTGCTATAGGAGGCTCACTCTGGCTGTGCGGGAGAGGGGCCTGGGAGGGACAGGAGGAGAGGAGAGGAGGCCGCCTGGGTCCTGAGACACAGCTGCTGGAGGTTTCTTAGAGTGGGACAGAAATAAGAGGGGTGGTGAGAAGGGCTTGGATGCGGAACGTGTCGTAGAAGAAGAGCTGCCAGGAATTGCGGGTGGGTTGACGTGGACTGTGAGGGAGCCAGAGACGACGAGTAGGTCTGGGGTAGGCCGCTGTGTTGTTTACTCATGGAGCAAGTCTGTAGGATCCAGAGTGGCTTTTGGTGGAGAGGAGAGGAATCGGTCGTGCTGATCAGGCTGCCTGTCAGGTGTACCCAGGAGATGTGAAGGGTGCAGTTAGATACTGGAGAGTGGGGTTTGGGAGGAGGTCGGCTGGTGAAGGGAATTTGAGTCTTGGGTGGACAGTGGTCTCTACAGCCGCAGGACCAGATGCAGCAGTCTGGCGAGAAAGGACAAGACCTGGGACCTGCCGCCGTGCAGAGGTGGAAGAAGCAGAGCAGGAAGAGTTGGCAGAGGCGACCAGGAAGGCCAGAGCTGCCAGCCAGCGAGGAACAAAGTTGAGCAAGTTTGGGGTCATCGAGCTACAGAAGACAGTGCTCTGGGAAGAAAGAAACATTGCGCAAAGTCGCTGAGAGATTGAGTAAGGTGGACACGGGCAATTGACCTTTGACATTAGCAAGATCGAAGTTATTTGATAAAAGCTCTTCTCGTGTAGTTATGGGGACGAAAGCCCAGTGGGGGTGGGGTGAAGGCAGAATAGGAGGTAAGGGGTGCCTGGGTGGCTCAGTCAGTTAAATTCTTGATTTCGGCTCAGGTCATACTCTCACAGTTCGTGAGATCAAACCCCGCATTGGACTCTGTGCTGACATTGTAGAGCCTGCCTGAGATTCTCTCTGTCTTTCTGCCTGCCTCTCATTCTCTTTCTTTTTTTTTTTTTTTTTTAATATATTTTTATTTATTTCTAGGAGAGAGAGAGAGAAACAGTGTGAGCAGGGGAGGGTCAGAGAGAGAGGGAGTCACAGACTGAAACAGGCTCCAGGCTCTGAGCTGGCAGTCAGCACAGAGCCCGACGCGGGGCTCGAACCCACGAACCGCGAGATCGTGACCTGAGCGAAAGTCGGACGCTTAACCGACTAAGCCACCCGGGCGCCCCTCATTCTCTTTCAAAATAAATAAACTTTAAAAAAGAAAGAATAGGAGGTAAGGAAGAGGGGAAGACAATCTGTTTGGCTAAGAGGGGGAGGAGAGACATTCAGAGTATCTGGCTGGGAATGTGGGGCAAAGAGAAAGAAATTGGTCAGTGAGGCTGGTTTGTTGACCAAAGGAATGTCATGGGGAGAAGGGGCCATTAGGTGAGCGGGGCCCTCGGGAAGGCAGGAGGGCCCAGAGCAGGCAGTGCTCGCTCGGCTGGAGGGCCAGCCCGTGGCAGAGCAAGGCTTGTGTTCTGCCGCGACTGGAGGGGCAGGCGGCGCAGGCAGGCGAGCCGGTACGTGGTGGTGAGGACACGAAGCAGGTCTCGTCTCGTGTGTCTTCTCAGTTACTTGAGAGCCGTGATGGGGAAGAAGGGATGGCGGCGGCAGTGATGGCAGAGCTCCGGGGAGAGAGGACACGGGCTGAGGTGGTCATCTTGGAAGGGGAGAGCATTCGTTTATAGGAAGGCTGTTTGTTGCTTACCTGAAATTTGCAGGGAGTCCGGGAGGCAGATAGTGAGGGTTTTTCCTCCACGGATCTTTAGTTTCCTGGGTGCAGGTGTGAAGCAGTAACGAGAAAGCGGGAGCAGGGGTGTTCTGGAAAGGGTTTGCAAAAGAGTAGATACTGTATGGGATCGCAGAATCTGCACAGGGTAGGGCAGAAGGTCAGGGCCGGGACTGGTGTGGGCAGCGAGAGGGCATGAGGGCGCCCAGAAGTATCCCCTCCACCCAACCCTTCCCTTCCTCCTAAACAGACTCCAGACGGTTAGAGATCCAGGGAGGTCGGGGCCCTAGTGCTTCCTCCTCCTCTTGCAGGGCAGCAAGTGGCAGCATTAGCCTTGTCATTCTCTGACTGCTCTTCAGTTGCTCAATTTTTTATTTGGTGCCAAAAGCATGTAAAAACGGTAGCGTTTGGTAGGAGGCCTGCTTGAAACACTTTTTCGGGGAAGTGTAGCCCATACTGACGCAGCCCGGTTCACACCTAGGTGCCTGAAAGAGGACCCCGCGACCATGTCCCTGCTACAGAGAAGCCTCGATCCCGAGAAGACCCTGGGGCTGGTGGACGTGCTCTACACGGCTGTGCTGGACCTCAGCCGCTGGAGGGCAGGGAGGTCGGTGTCCTCACCAGTCCCCTGCCACGCATTATATTCAGGCCCGCACTTAGGGACAGCGGGGCCATCCACAGCCGCTGATAGTGAGTCAGGAAGGCAAGAAAGCGAATTTTTTTGTAACCTAACTTTGGAATAACTTCAAATTTTACAGAAGAGTTGCAGTAATACCAGTAATTGCTCTCTGCCCTTTAGCCAGACTCCCGCCTTCCTTCCATGTCTGCCTTCATTTGTTTTATCACTCAAGAGTAAGTCCATCAAGAGGATTTTAACCCAACTCGTTTACACCTTATGAGCAGAGAAATGTTTAGAAAATGTACTTATATCCTACATCAACTTTATTTATATCTGAAAGCAGCTGACAGTCGCAAGATTGTCCCTCAGAATTATGGACATTAGAATGGTCGGGATCTTAAACATCTAGCCATGCGTCCCCTTTCTTAACTCACGAGCACTGAGGCCCAGGATACTGAGGTGGCTTGTCCAGGGTCCCACCAATCGCCTGCCTCTGCTCCATACCCTTCTGTCGGGCTTTCAGTACTAGAAAAAGCGCCCAGAAAACCTTGGAAGTAATGACCATCTGTTCTCAGCATTGTCTGTAAGTGACTTCCAAGGGCAACAGCGCTCCACAGTGTCACTGAGCCCCACTCACCCACCCTCTCTTCTGTGGGGCTTCATCCACGTCCCTCTGCCGGCCCAGGCCTTGTCCTTGTCCTCCGGTCACAAAGCTGGCTTCTGCCACTTGCATGTTCCGCTCCACCCTTGATTCACTCTGTGCTGTGGTTAAAGGGTTTTGCTCAAACTCCTCCGGCCAGAATCTGAACGTATTTTTCACAGCCTCGTGTTAGACGCTGTCGATTTTTTTTCATAATAAATATATAGAAAGTAAGAACTTAAATTACATACACTTAAAAGCCTTGGGTATTCATTTATTTATCTATAAAATAAGGGAGGCTGATACCAACTAGAGATATTGTTTTTGACCTTAAATGCATGGAGATCATTTCATTGTCCAATCTGTATATTTGTCTTTTTTTTTTTTTTTTTTAATACATTTCTGTTTAAACAGGGAGCAAGCTTTACCCTGCATACAGATCCAGCTTCAGAGGGAGATCTGTGATTTTGGGAATCAGGCTGACCTGCCTCCTGGGAATGGAAACAAATCTTCAGGTGGCCTGCAGAAGACATTCTCCAAACTGACATCCCGGTTCACCAAGAAAGCTTCATGTACCAGCTCTAGCAGCAGCACAAATTATTCCATCCCAAATACACCTTCCAAAAACATCTTCTTTGCTGGGTGTTCAGAAGAGAAGGCCAAAATGCCCAGTAATATTGATTCAAGGTTACAAAGCATTTTGAACATTGGTAATTTCCCCAGGACTACAGACCCCTCACAGTCCGCTCAGAATCCCAGTAATCAAATGGCCAATGGTTTTCTCATGGAGAGGCGTGACAACTTCCTGCAAGCGGACGATGGCAAGGATGAGAAGGGTATGAACTTACCAACCGATCAGGAAATGCAGGAGGTGATAGATTTTCTCTCGGGCTTTAACATGGGCCAGTCACATCAGGGCTCCCCATTGGTGACAAGGCGTAATTCTGCTGCCACAGCCATGGTGACTGAACAGAAGGCAGGAGCCATGCAGCCACAGCAGCCACCACTGCCAGTGCCCCCTCCACCACGGCCACCCCAGGCTGGGGCCCGCTCACCTCTGACACCCCAGCCAGGCCTGGCAGCACAGCAGCACTCCCCAAAGCAGCAACAGCCCCAGGTGCAGTACTACCAACACCTGCTCCAGCCCATTGGACCTCAGCAGCCCCCACCCCAGCCTCGGGCGCCTGGGAAATGGGTACATGGCTCATCCCAGCAGCCAGCACAGCCTGTCGGAGCAGGTCTATCCCCTCTTGGCCAGTGGCCTGGCATATCTGATCTCAGTTCTGACTTGTACAGCTTGGGTCTGGTGAGCAGCTATATGGATAATGTGATGTCGGAGGTTTTGGGGCAGAAGCCACAGGGACCTAGAAATAACACCTGGCCGAACCGTGACCAAAGTGATGGAGTCTTTGGGATGTTGGGAGAGATTCTGCCTTTTGATCCTGCAGGTACGTGACCTACCCCTGGCCCTTGGGGTTTTCAGATAAATATAATCACTGAGGACTTCATGGGTCCTGACACAGCCTTGCTTGGCGGGGGTGCGGGGGGAGTGACTTAATTTCCTTTCAAAGACCCTTTCTCACTGTCAGTTGATAATCATGGGGCACCTCCAGCAAAGGTAGGCAACAGTGGTGAGAATGAGGTTTCTCGCTACACAGAGGATGGGATTGAGGCCAAAAAATTTCTTGAATAGCTCCAAGCCCCATCATTCAAGTGGGCTGCAGTCTGGCTCCTCCCATTCATGAGAGCCCAGGTGGCTGGTCCTTTGTGATTACACAGCCTGTACAGCCTGTTCTGTGATTCTTCTTGGCCTAGACTCTTGGGCCTATGGAAGGTGGCGGAGTGCCTTCCTGCCTTCACAGAGAGGCTTCTGGCCTGAACACTGAAAACACCAGCAGAGTTATCTTGGGAAATTAGAAACATAACTTCAAAACAAACAAAAATAAACTAGAAGGAGGAACTAGTTAAGGAGAAAAGCCAAAATTAATTAAATTTAAAAGAAAAAATTGTAAATGAAATCTGGAGAAGGATGTCTTGAAGACCAGCAAATAGACAAACCAATGTATTGTGAGCTTCAGTAAGACAGAGCAAAGAGAGACAAGATTAAGAAAGAGAAAGGAGCTGTGACTCCAGAAATAGGAGAGATTAGAAGAAGCGTAAGACATTACTACATGTGACCCAATGACAACGTATTTGAAAACTGAGTGGAAAATGACTTCTTTCCTAATAAAATACACATTCACCAAAATTGTACCAAGAAGTGGAAGACCTGCGTAGATCTCTGTCAGTGGAAGAGATCGGAACAGTAATTGTGAAGCCAATATGATTTCACCATAGAAATTTTATAAGGATTGTTAAAAAAGCAAACTACAGTCATCTCCTCATGAACGTGGGTAGGGACAGAACAGTCGAGCAGTGTGTCAGAAGTGTCCCACACAGTGTCTGTTACTCACCCTGTTTACTGCAGGGGTGGAAAGTGGTTCGGTGTCAGGGACTCTGCTACTGTAGAGTAATCCATCGTGTCAACCAGTTAAATGAGAACAACTCATACAACAACAGAGGCTGTGAAGACTCTAGATAAAAGACACCAGTAATTCCTTTAAAAAGAAAAAATAAAACTCAAAATAAGAGATGAATAGAAATTTCTTGAATATATATATTAAAAAAAAAAAAAAAGACTTCCAAAAGCTGGTAGCAAGTAGTACCAAGTGGTGCTCTGTATAGTGAAACAAAATCATTCCAGTTAAAATCCGGACCCAGACAGGGTGGCAGCTGTTACTACCACTAGCGTGTAGCTTTATCTTCAACTTTCTAGCAAGCACAGCAAGTCATGTATAAGCTTCAGAAAAAGATACATTAAAAGGCATTCTCTGGGGGCACCTGGGTGGCTCAGTCAGTTAAGCTTCCGGCTTCAGCTCAGGTCATGATCTCAAGTTCATGAGTTCAGGCCCCACATCAGCCTCTCTGTTGTCAGCACAGATCTTCTACCCACGTCTCTCTCTGCCCCTCCCTCCCTCCCTCCTGCTCGCTCTTTCGCTCAAAAATTAATACATTTTTTTTAAAAAAACACATCTCTTTGCCAGCAGTAGAATTGGAAAAAGAAGACTCAATTTAAAAAAAACTTCTAAAATTAGTAAGTGAGTCAGTAAGGCAGGTAGATGGAAGATAGATAGATGGAAGGTAAATACATAGAAATCCATTACTGTTTTCTCTAATTTAGCAAAAGGTATACAGAGTAGAAAACACATCTCATTCATAAGGAGAATACTGTGAAGTATAAATAACTACAGCAAATATTTATAAAAATAACCAGCAGAAGAGGAGATTCGCTGCTAAAACAACCTGGCATTAACTATTAATGGAAAGAAATGTTTTCTTACGTCTTCTAAAAATCCCTCATACTGCTGCTCATGCTTGCTTGTCCTTGCTGTCCCGGGGGTTGGGGGGGAGGGGGTGATGTGGGCAGCCCTGCCCCCAGGGCCGCAGGAAGCCTCACCCTACTAGAGAGGAGGCCCTGACCAGGGTGGGCGCAGCACGCTTCCTCAGCTGCTGTTAAACAGTCTGTATGTCTTTTGATAGTCATGTACTTAAATCCAGAGTATAAGCAGTGCTTGGCAGAATTTTGCCATCTTTGATCTTTGTTGAGGCTCAGGCAGCCTTTATGTCTTTAGCCTAAGAACCCTGAGCTTGGGTCCTCCTTTCTGACCTTCCCGCAGACCCCGCCTGAGACCAGAAGCTCCCTTTTCCCAAGTTAAGGAAGGGCACGCCTCTGGATAGATGAGTCGCAGCAGGCACCCTCTCGGGCAGGGCCTGGGAGGGCAGAGTGCCCCCCTGCACAAGCACTCTCGGCCCCCTGGCGGCGTGGCTTGACTCACTGAGAAGGGGGCCTCAATTTTGGCCCAGCCCCTCCCCTCCCCCTGTGTGGGCGTCTTTGTGCAGAGCCCAGAGGGAAGTCTCACACAGCACTCCTATGGCAGTGCCCTGAGGACAGGCCAAGAATGCGATTGTGCCCTGGTGGCTTTGCCAGCCTAAAAGCTGAAAAGTATACACTGCTGAGTCCTATTCAGTTTGTGACCATAGATAGTTTCCTGCCATATCTCCTCATCTGGCTCGTTCTGTCGTGCCCTCTACGCTGTTTTCCCTCCTGCCCTTCCTTCCTCGGCTCTGTGCAGTGTGTTTCCAGTCACCTCTTAATGCATTCTGAAGTTTCATCTCCTCCATTACCACTCTTGTTATCTTCAGACCGAATGAGTAGGTCTGCCATCCAATATCCAGGAACATCCTGGATTCGAGTTGGGCCACATGGGAATGACATCTCTGACTGGCTGACCTTGATGCTTTGATAACTTTCAGGTTATCAGTTCGCTGAAGACATCATTTGATGTTCTAAGCTGTTAAGTACATAGCACCAGACACTGGAAATTTTTTAAGTAGCTGGTATTTGTCTGTAACATTTAATCATGGGTCCTGTGTGTTCTCTGTCTTTCATTCACAGTCAGGCTGCCTCTGTCCTAGACGTAACCCTTCCTGACAGTCCATGTGCACACGCCACACCCCCACTTCAGACCTGTGGCTGAAAGCCCATCTCACCATAGCGGGCTGCCGGGCAGTCCTGCCGCTCTGGGCCACAAGTCTGGTGGCACCTCGCCACTTTTCATTGTGTGTGTGACCAGCATATCCTCAGGAGGCAGGGAAGGAAACAAGAGGCCAGTGTGACCCCAAGCCCTGTTTGTCCCTTTGTCTTGACACAGTGGGTTCAGACCCCGAGTTTGCACGCTATGTGGCAGGAGTGAGCCAGGCGATGCAGCAGAAAAGGCAAGTTCAACACGGTCGCCGCCCAGGCAACCCCCGGGGCCACTGGCCACCCATGGATGATGCCCATCGGACCTGGCCTTTCCCAGAGTTCTTCACAGAAGGGTGAGTGCTGCGTGTGGCAGGGAGTGGGGGGCCCTTATGCACTCTTACCTGGCGGTTCGTTTCCAAGGTCCTGCATGAGAGAGTGACATCCGTCAAATCTTCAGGTCAGAGTTCTGTGACAGACTCTTTCGATGCCAGGTGGCATGATGTGTCCCCGTAAACACCATCAGTATATGTTGATCATTTTCAACACATGCTCTTCTGCCCTAAGCCAGGAACTCATTTGATGGTGTTTATGAGATAATTGCACGTTTACTGTGAAACCCATGTGATTTGTTGAGTGTGGTCCTTGTAGCCCCCAAAAAGCAAAGGTGTGTGATCCAGAGGCCAGTGTAGTGAGACAGCGGTGGACCTTCCTCCTCAGGACAACTGGGGATTGATTTTGCACATCTCATATTGCCACCTGGTTAACGAGTCCAGACGGCCAAAGGCCAATCCAGCTTGTTGCTCTAAAATGAATTTCATACGCAGAACACAGCCTTCTGAGAAGACTAAAGGGCAGCAATGAGTGAATGTTACTTTTGAAATAAGGGACAGGAAGAACAGCTTGGGTTTTTATAGGGGGTGATGGGAGGGGCGCCTGGGTGGCTCAGTCAGTTAAGTGTCCGACTTCAGCTCAGGTCGTGATCTCAAGGTTCGTGGGTTCGAGCCTCAGGTCAGCCTCTGTGCTGACAGCTAGCTCAGAGCCTGGAGCCTGTTTCAGATTCTGTGTCTCCCTCTCTCTCTGACCCTCCCCTGCTCACACTGTCTCTCTCTCTCTCTCTCTCTCTCTCTCTCAGAAATAAATAAAACATTAAAAAAAAAAATTAGAGGCGGAGATGGGAAACCACTGTCTGGTCATTAGATGGATGCAGGGTAAAGACGGTTCCTTTTGGGCTGAGCAGCCGGTGTCCGGGTAGGCCGCAGGAGCCCAGGTCCATCCACCTCCTCTCTTTGGCTTTCAGGGACGGCCTTCACAGCGGCTGGTCGGGTGCTCAGGGAGACTCCGCCAGCTCGAGTGATGAGACGTCCTCCGCCAATGGAGACAGCTTGTTCTCCATGTTTTCAGGGCCCGACCTCGTCGCTGCTGTCAAGCAAAGAAGGTATGAAGAGATTTCTGAGTGCAAAGGACAGAAGGGCACATGAGTGCGATCCCTAGCTGATTCCTTTGGAAAGCTCAGGGACGCCCTGGCTCCCGGCAGCTTGGCATGGGAAAGGCAGAGGCCCCCGGCCACCACTGCCTTGCTTGGTCCTCTCTGACTACCGTGCAGGCTCATAGCCCAGGTGACTTCACATTGGGTTGGGTTTTGCCGGCAGGACAGTCTCATGCAAGTGGTAGCCAAAAATATCAGTGTGAGGCAAGGAAGGTTCTGGAGACAGGGTCTGCTGATTCTGGACTGTGCCGTGTGAGAGGCAGCCCTTTCTATGGGAGGAGCAGGACCAGACCAGCCAGGTTCTAGTCAGGCTTTGCAACTCCAGACAAGGGCCTGGCCCTCTCCAACCTTGTCTTCAGTGAAAAATAATAATAATGGAGTATATTCAGGTCTGAGAAGTTTTTAAAAGTAGCAGTGCCTGGCTGGCTCAGTCTGTAGAACATGCAATTCTTGATCTCAGGGTCATGAGTTCAAGCCCCATGTGGGGCATGGTGCTTACTCAAAAAAAAAAGAGAGAGAAAAAAGAGGGGCGTCTAGGTGGCTCATTCAGTTGAGTGTCCAACTTTTGGTCTTGCTCAAGTCACAGTCTCCCATTTCATGAGTTTGAGCCCCGAGTCAGGCTCTGCACTGCCAGGGTAGAGCCTGCTTGGAATTCTCTCTCTCTCCCTCTTTCTCTGCCCCTTCCCTGCTCACTCTCTTTCTCTCAAAATAAATAAATAAACTTTAAAACAATCAAACATGTCAGGAAGGGTTGAATGTGCTGAAGAAAAATATGAGAGTCAAGGAGGCTTCTGATGAGCAGAAAACTGAACAAAATGAGGGTGAGAAATTGGCATTGTAGTATGTGTGAGAGGGAAGAATCAGGGATGATATGCCAGTTTCTGTTTGGCCAGAGCGTCTGTATGAAGGGGGTGCCGTGAACCGAGACAGGAGGCTGCCGGAGGAGCAGGATTGAGCAGGGGTAGCGTAAAATGTCTGTTTTAGACACGGGACATTGGAGAGGCCAGTTAGACATCGACATGTAGCACTTCCTCGGCAGGCACCGCTGTCCCCAGGCAGGAGCACCGACAGACTGATTTACTTGGCTCTGGGCCTGCTCCGCCCTGCCCGCTTCACTCAGCATTTTCACAGAAGCGTTCCGTGTCTGTGGTCCAAACTAACAGTCTTTCAGGTCCCACTTCCCCAGGGCACGGTAAGCACTCAGTGTCTCTTGAATAAATTAACAAAAGCCAGAGCCGGTGGAACGGCCAGTGCCTGTCTTCATGCCTGCCACCCCCACCTAGATCCAGGGCCCAGAGCCACCAGAGCCAGGTGGCCAGGGTGCCCCCAGGAGGCAAGCTGGGTGAGGTGCCCACTGTGCTGAGCTCTGGGTTCTTTCAGGAAACACAGCAGTGGAGAGCAGGAGACCAGCACGCTGCCCTCACCACCTCTTCTTACCACCGTGGAGGACGTGAACCAGGTATAGTGGGCCCTGCTCTGGCCACCGAGGGCCGGCTCTCCGGGGTGCAGACCATGAGCAAAGTTCCCAAGCTTCCATTTTAAGAGGGCTTCAAAGAAATGACAGGTTCTTAACTACCTCAGCTGACTCAGAGCCAAAGGTACAGGAAGCTCTGGGGCTGTGCCATCCACAGTGACGGACAGCAGCCACACGTGGCTGTTTCAATTGCAATAGTCCTTGGTTCCTTAGTGGCCCCCGCCACCTGTGGTGAGTGGCTACCGCATTGAACGGCGCAGACACAGAACATTTCTGTCCTTGCAGGTTCAGTTGGACGAGGCGGCTCCGGGGCTGCGGGGAGGTGTGGGGCTCTCACCCTGACTCCTAGGTGGGCATCAGGACCAGATACCTGGGGAGGTGGGAAAAGAGTTGCCAGAAATGCCACTAAGAACCCTCTTCTGTCTCTCAGGATAACAAAACCAAAACGTGGCCACCCAAAGCACCCTGGCAACACCCTTCTCCGCTGCCCAGCACGCTGCCGAGCCCAAGCACACCGCTCTACGCAGTCACCGGCCCCGGCAGCCAGTGGAACGACACCATGCAGATGCTGCAGTCCCCGGTGTGGGCCGCGGCCGGCGATTGCAGCGCCGCCTCCTTCACCTACGTGCAGACCCCGCCGCAGCCCCCACCCCCTGCCCACAAGGCAGCGCCCAAGGGCTTCAAGGCCTTCCCCGGGAAGGCTGAGCGCCGGCCAGCCTACTTGCCCCAGTACTGACCTGGGCCCGGCCTGCCCGCCTGCCTGCCCAGAGCTGTTGGGGCCCGCGCCCCCACCCCAGTGCTGACTAGCTGGCACCAGCCCCCCAGAGGACCAGTGCACCCCTGTCCCAGGCAGAGATCATTGGGGATGGGGGTAGTTGGCAGCTCCAAGTCTTCAGGGCCCGGCTTCTTAAACTTTGGAGGCATCAGACCCCTGGAGGGCCAGCTGGAGACAGGTTTCTGACCCTCAGGGAGATTGTGGGGGTGGGGAGCTTCGAGCTTAATAAGCTCATCGGGTGATTCTGATGCAGGTGGGCCAGAGGCCACACTTTGAGAAACACAGCTCTCTAGTTTGTAGTTCCACTGCGTGTGTTGGGAAGACATCAGGCCTAAAGGCTGAGAGCAAAACTGACCATTTTTCTGAAACTCTCCCCTCCCCCTTCTTAACACGTTGAGTGATGACCACACCAATCACTGTATTTTATAGCTATTTTTCATATAGGTTTTTAGTTAAAACATCTCCAGCCTAAAATGCATCGAATGTTTTAAGATAACAAATACGGAGGCCGGAGGTTTGTTCAACACTATCTTTATTTAAGCTAATACAAAATGGGCAAAATATAGAATATTTGTGATCGGAAGCAATCACCTTGGGTCCTCTGTGGGTGGGCAGCCCCTTGCCACCCCAGCAGCACCCACGGGGTGCAGTCGTTACCGGATTTACAAAAACAGGATCGTAAAGCTGATGTCAGAGGCGTACCCCTGACGGCGCATGGAGAAGAGCCAGCTGGCCGCCAGCCGTGCGCAGGGTCCAGCTGCACCTGCTGCCTTCAGACCCGCGCACGGCCGGGGGCTTCAACACATCTCGGCACTTGGGGGTGTGGTCAAGAGGCTGCCCAGAGACACCTGCACTTGAAATTGCAGTCACATTTGTGAGCTGGCTCAAGACAAACCCGTTAAGATGTAGATAGGAATTAATTTAAAGTCTTTTCTTTAAAAAAACAAAAACGAAAAACCACCTCATTTTCAGTTAACATGTGCCATTAAGTAGATGACATCCTGTGGATTTAAGGATATTTTCCAGCCAGAATGGATCCAGAAGAATTGAATGGTGCTTAAATTGAGAAATAATAATAAATATATCTATATAGAATAGACATATCCCACTGTATATTAATTGAGGTTACAGAAGTTCTTTATATAAAACTTATTTAAATTTTTCATATTTCATCTTTGAAAAAGTCTAATTGAGAAAAATCCATAATATTTTCTGGTATGAAAGTTTGACAGTATTAATATTTTTTTTATATTTTCTTAAATCATTAAACCATTTTAATATATATGTTAACTACTAATAAATGGTTTATTCTTTCTAACTCCACATAAGCTTTTCCAGCAAGGATTGTAATAACACATTTATGTTCTCATTTTTCTACGGATATAAGTAAATTTATATTTAAAAATACCAAAAAGAAAAAAGATGTATGTATATGTATGTATACACACCAATTCTAGAGGACCCTTAGGGTGTCTGAGCCGAGCCACCTGAGTTTTTAGCACTGTGGTGCCAGGCTGTTCCCAGGGCTCGGCTGTTCTTTTGTGCTGTGGGGGATGCCATTGCCGCCTGATCCTTTCGCCGCGGGTTCCGAACATTCACCTCACCATGTTTACAGAGAACTATTTTGTACATAGACTTTCCCAGGCACGTGCTTTGCACCCGCCCTGCGTGGCCCTTGTCCGTGTGAGCCGTCGGTGTGTGCTGTAATCTCTGTTGAAGCTGTTTGTGGCCGTTTCCCTCGTAAGATCGTTTTCTGTTCCCTCCAGTAACGTGTCCCCAGTACCTTGTATTTCAAGTTCTATTATCCTGAAGTACTCTTGTTTTCATAGTGCCTCCCCAAGGACCTCACCCTGGACAGAGGTCAGCCCTTGACACCCCAGTGCAGGTGACATCGACACTGCTCATCGTCACTTTCCAGTCTGTTTTGCTCGACGAAGCAGGACGTTTTGTAATTGCATCTCCGTGGGCTGTGAGACCGTGTGAAGCTGTTCGTGTGGTCTCTTTGTAGGTGCTGTGTTCTCAGCACCTCCTTGCTCTGAACACTGGTTTTTCCAGGTGCTGCGCTCGGCAGAGGGGTCTCGCCAAAGCGCATGTGTGTGCGTGTGTGAGTGTGTGTGTCCTTTGCATGGCCGGGCGTGGCTGCCTTGCTCGGGCATCAGCAGGACATCGTGTGAATAGTTACAACGCTTCCAAACTGGAACTCTACATTTTGTATCTTACTTTTAAAGCTCCTATAAGTAAAATAACTATTGGCTTTATTAAAAATATACATTTAATAATACCTTGTATCTCTGTTTAAAATGAACGGCAGCAGACCTGTGAGAAGCCCTGCCTGATTCATTCCTTTGAAAAGCTGCGCCCACATTGCTTTTGAGGTCAGGTCGCCCTCTGATCCTGCGACCTTTTGCAAGAGGAAAGAACCGTGGGAGTGTCGGGATGAGCCGGGGGGGGGGGGGGGGGGGGGGGGGGGGGGGGGGGGGGGGGGGGGGGGTAGGAAGCAGACAACTTCCACCCGTCTCCAGCCAGCTTCCCCATGGCCAAAGCTGGGGCAGACCTCTGTGAGGACAGAGCCAATGTCGTGGTGGAGGAGCCAGGACCCACGATCCACCTGCCAGGGGCACCGTGAGCTGCCCCACCAGCCTTTCCAAGGAGCAGACCCCGGGAAGAGCTCTCCCCCTGCTCCGCCAGGGACCCCATATTTGGCAAAGATCATACCTCACAGGGACAAGGACTGGTCTCCTTGGAGGACGCCGTCCTGCTAAGCAGATGGGAAGCTTGTGCAGTGGGAGCCACAAAGCTGGGGCGGGGGGCTGTCACAGGGGAAGTTCAACTTTTCATTTACAGCAAGGCGGTACTTGAAGCTTTTTTTCATGACCTCGGGGAAAAGATATGAGCATTAATCTATAACCTACCAGTGTAAATACTAAGGCTTCTTTCTGCTGAGATGCCTAGAAGGTGAGCTTGGGGACCAAGACCCAGAGCCTTCTAAGCGCACCTCAGGACAAGGTTACTTAGTAGCAGCTATGTTGCATGCGTGTGATAGGAAACACACTAGAAGTACCTATTGAAAACGCTAGCGTTTTATTCAAGCATGCTGTTTACCGCCAGTACCTGGTGCTGCTCACTGGTTTCGATTCACAGCGGTGGCGGGGACAGAAGAGTTCTGTGGCCGGGCTGTGTGCCGGATGGGTGAGTGGAGAGCTCAACAGATGGGACACCTGAGCAGCAGCAGGGGCTTTGTGAGGCTGGGGACCCTCCTTTTCCACCTGGGGGCCCCTGGGAAAGTAGGGTATCTAGTTCAGAGCGTAGGTGGGTGCCTGGGTGGCTCAGCGGGTTAAGTGTCTGACTCTTGGTTTTGGCTGAGGTTATGATCTCACAGTTGGTGAGTTCAGGCCCCAAAGTGTAGAGCCTACTTGGGATCCTCTCTCTCCCTCTCTCCCTGCCCTTGCCCCACTCTCTCTTTCTCTCAAAAGAAACTTTAAAAAAAATAATTTTTTAAAAAGTGTAGCTGAAACACGGTGTGCCAATCATAGCACTGTGAGAGGATGGCCCTATGTGCACTGTGTGGCCACTGCGTGACTGCTTCCTGATCTGGAGACACGGAGGAAATAAACCCTTCCAATGGCTGGCTTCTCAAATGTCAAAAAGCCTCAAATGTGGAAAGCGTGACTGGCTGCCTCCCAGCCACATATGCTGAGGGACCTCCTGCCCCTGGATGTGGCTAATATTGGGGCTGAGTTTGGGAGGTGGGCTTAAGTGAGGAGAAGGAGTGTCCTGTTCATTTCCACATCTAACGTCACTTCAGGGCTGGGGCGCCTGAGTGGCTCAGTCGATTGAGCGTCCGACTTGGGCTTAGGTCATGCTCTCACGGTTCGTGAGTTCAAGCTCTACATCAGGCTCGCTGCTGTCAGCGCGAAGCCTGCTTCGGATCCTCTGTCCCCTACGCTCTCTGCCCCCCCCCACCACCACCACCACTTGCGCTCTCCCAAAAAAAAAATTTTTTTTAATTGAATAAAGTCACCTAAGGGCAAGGCCCTTGCTAGGAGCCAGGGCTACAAAGAAGATGCAGTTTCTGCTCTTAAAATTCAGTCTTTTATTTATTTTTTAATATCTTCTTTAAAATTATTTTAATTCCAGGGCATCTGGGGGGCTCAGTCAGTTAAGCCTCCAACTTTGACTCAGGTCTTAACCTCACGATTCATGGGTTCGAGCCCCGCATCAGACTCTCTGATGTCAGCACAGAGCCTGCCTCAGATTCTCTCTCTCTCACCCTCTGCCTCTCCCTTCCCTCAAAAATAAACATTAAAAAAAAAAAGTAAAATTATTTTAATTCCAGTGTAGCTCACATACAGTGTTATATTTGTTCCAAGTGTACAATATAGTGATTCAACAATTCTATACTCCGTGCACATCAAGTGTACTCAATCCCCTTCACCTATTTCACCCATCCCCTCACCCACCTTGCCTCTGGTCACCATCTGTTCTCTATGGTTGAGTCTGGTTTTTGTTTCTTAAATTCCACATATGCGCAAAATCATACATTATTTGTCTTCCTCAGACTGGCTCATCTCACTTAGCATCATACTCTCTGGCTTCATCCATGTTGTTGCAAATGGCAAGATTTCATTCTTTATGGCTGAATAATACTCCACAGTATATAGAAATAGCACATTTTCTTCATCCATTCATCTACTCATGGGCACTTATGTTGCTTCCAGAATGTGGCTATTGTAAGTAATGCTGCAATAAACATACAGGTGTATGTATCCCTTTGAATTACTGTTTTCATATTCTTTGGGTAAATACCGAGTAGTGTGATTACTGGAGCACAGGGTAGTTGTATTTTTAATTTTCTGAGGAAGCTCCATCCTGTTTTTCACAGTGTTTGCACCAGTTTGCATTCCCACCAACAGTGCAGAAAAGTCTCTATTTCTCTGCATGTTCAACACTTGTTTTTTAGTCAGACAGATATGAACTAATATTGTTTTGATTTTCATTTCCCTGATAATGAGTGACGTTGAGCATCATTTCATGTATCTCTTGGCCATCGGAATGTCTTCCTTGGAGAAGAAAACTCAGTCTTTTAGGGCAGACAACCCCATCTTTCCCATCCTTGTTAAGAGGCCACCATCCATCTACCAGCTACTCTGGTAGAATCTTAGAAGACATTCATTCTTGATTCCTCTTTCCTTTACTCTCCTCTTCCAGCAAGTCTTATAAGCCTATCATTACAAAGGCATTTGAATTCTTTTTAAGGTTATTTATTTTTGAAAGAGAGAGAGAGCACACAACCAGAGAGGCAGAGAGAAACAGAATTCCAAGCAGACTCTGCACTGTCAGTGTGGAGCCTGATGCAGGGTTCGAACTCACCAACCTCGAGATCACATCCCCAGCTGAAATCAAGAGTCTGACACTTAACTGACTGAGCCACCCAGGTGCCCCTAAAGCGCATTTGAGTTCTATCGTGTTTTTTTTTTTTTTTAACATTTACTTATTTTTGAGAGACATAGCATGAGCAGGGGAGAGGCAGAGAGAGGGAGACACAGAATCTGAAGGAGGCTCCAGGCTCCGAGCTGTCAGCCCAGAGCCCAACATGGGGCTTGAACTCACGAAACGAGTGATCATGACCTGAGCCAAAGCCAGACGCTTAACCGACTGAGCCACCCAGGCGCCCCTTATCATGTTCTTAAATGCTGCCAACAACCTGGTCATCACCGGACTCCTGACTTCCCCTCTCTGGCCTCAAGGTTTCCCATACACCTCTGCTACCATCAACATCCCCCAGTGCCCACCTGCCTGCTGCTCCCACAAACGCTCTCTGCTTCTGCCTCCATCTGTTCTCTTGGGCCAGAGGCCAACCTCTATCTGGGTTGTTTTTCATTATAGCACTTACAGCTTCCCTGAAACCATGTTTGCCTTTGCCCCTCTCACTAGAAGGGAGGCCTCATGAGAGCAAGGAACAAGTCCTGTTCACGGCCACATGGCCAGGGTGCAGAACGGCAAGAAGCAATTCCAGAGGAGCCAGACTAAACAGGTGTTGATGTGCAAATCACTGAGCAAATTCTAATGCCAAATAAAAATAGATAGATAACCAGACTTAAAATTAGCTCTCACTCAAAATAAAAGACCAAGACAGGGGCGCCTGGGTGGCTTAGTCGGTTAAGCGTCCGACTTTCGCTTAGGTCACGATCTCGCGGTTCGTGGGTTCGAGCCCCGTGTCGGGCTCTGTGCTGCCTGCCAGCTCAGAGCCTGGAGCCTATATCAGAGTCTGTCACTCCCTCTCTCTCTGACCCTCCCCTGCTCACGCTGTCTCTCTCTCTCTCTCCTAGAAATAAATAAAACATTTAAAAATAATAATAAAAGACCAAGACATGATAACGAGAGATTGTACTGGAACTGCAAGGTGAGACTGACACTAGGAACTGCGGGTAGAATTATGCAGCTTTTTACAAACTCTATAGAGTTTTCCATTCTCGTGGAAACACGCCTCTGGGAGGCACGGGATTTTTTTAAAAGCACCTAACAATGGAGTCATAGGGAAAATCTGGGGGCGACATCCCGAAGGGACAAAAAACGCCGCAAGCAAAAGCCGCGACGCAGGACGAGCTCATGGCCTGCTGGGGGCGCTGACGACCTCACTCACGGTTTTCGCTCGCGTGCGCATGCGCATGTCCTCCTCGCTCAGACTTTGCGCACATGCGCGTACACGTCCATCCCAGACGTGCGGACCGAGACGTTTGCTAGTTCTCTCTGCACCCCAGCACCCGACCCAGCGCGGGGACATGCGCACACGTGCACCTTGGACGTGCGGGCCCACACGCAGATGCGCGCGCATCAGCGCCCCCAACCTGCGCCGAATCCACCCTGCCCGCGCCCAATTTCGTGCGCACAGCCCTCTCTCGAGAGTGGGTCCAGCGCTAGGAGCTCCGTGGAGGTCTTTGGAGGCGCTGTTCTGTATCCCTCGCCAGGTCGCCGTGACTCAGCATCCCTGTGGGCGAATGTCGCCGTAGCAGCTCGACGAAATTCCTCCGCGTGCATCGCCCCGCCCCCGCCCTCCCGGGGGCTGTTTCAACTCAGCCGCAGAACTAGCGCTCTCCCCTCCTGTCCGCTCCCCCGCCCTACATCCGACCTTACGCGGGCGATCCCCTGTCTCCAGGTCCTGCCTGACTCCTGCCCGACATATCTAAATGCTCATGGCTCAGTTTCCCCATCTGTGGAACAGGGCTCTTATTTGGAGCTGTGCTAGTTTCACAAATATTCACTGGGAGCCAACTGGTTTTCCAAGGTTACACGAGGCTCTGAAACTAGATCCTTCTGCAGAGATGGGACTGTCCTCTGACTTCCGATATTGCCTCCTCTGTCAAATCCACTCTCCTGGAGCAGTCTGTCTTGCTCAGGGCCCTTGAAGGTGCCCAGGGTTGAGCAGGGTCACTTGAACTTTCTGAGCCAGATTTTCTTTTTGTCGCTGTTTAGTCAAACCCTCCAAACTTCACTGCCCCCAGGATCCTCAGGTATCTGAACACTATACTCTGGGTGGTTGCAGACAGGGGTTGGCACAACATATGGTAGCAATGGTGGTCATGGTCGTAGATTTAATTTTTGTGAGAATGTAAAATTAACCTTACTTTGACATTTTTCCAAATCCCAAGCCATCCCCCAAGATTTGATCAGAGATGCCAACCTGACAGTCCAGCGACTGATCACCCTCCCACACATGCACCTTTCCTCGTGGCTTTCTCCCTGCGGCAGTATGCAAATCCTTAGATGGGCCCACAGGGACCGCTGTTAACACCGCGGTTGAATTTTCCTAGCTCTCTGCCTTTTCCCATGCTGCTGTCCTTTCTGTTTGAGACGCCATTCCTAGCCATTTCCACTTGTAAAGCTCTATCCTGTCAATCAGAATTAATATCACAGAGGCTTAATTGATGTTAAAATAGAACTGAGCCGTGGGGAATTGCCACAACGGCAGGCAGGACAGCATTGTGTCGGGCTCGGAAATCAGGCAAACTTGGATTGATTTTCCACTTAGCAACAGAATGGCTGTTTTCAGATTTCTCAACCTGTTGTTTTTTTTTTAATGTTTTTATTTATTTCTAGGAGAGAGAGACAGCGTGAGCAGGGGAGGGTCAGAGAGAGAGGGAGACACAGAATCCGAAACAGGCTCCAGGCTCTGAGCTGTCAGCACAGAACCCAACGCGGGACTCGAACCCACGAACCGCGAGATCATGACCTAAGCGAAAGTCGGACGCTTAACCGACTAAGCCACCCAGGCGCCCCTGTCTGGTTTTTTTAAAATCTTTTTTAATGTTTTATTTATTTCTGAGAGAGAGACAAGCGTGAGCAGGGGAGGGTCAGAGAGAGAGAGAGACGCAGAATCTGAAGCAGACTCCAGGCCCCGAGCCAGCTGTCAGCACAAAGCCCGATGCAGGGCTCGAACCCACCAACGGTGAGATCATGACCTGAAGCAAAGTCGGACGCTCAACCGACTGAGCCACCCAGGGGCCCCACAACCTATCTGTTAAATGGGGAGGACAACAGGATAATAGGGCTGCTGCTGAGGCTTGTACGGGAGAGCATTTAGCGGCTGAGCTCCAAACACAGTAAACTGGCGGAAGTAGTAACCATGTTAGTAGTTGCATGATGAATGGCTGTCAACTAATAATGATTTCCTTTGTCTACTCCTATTTGTTTTCTTTCCTTATGACCCTCAGGATAGCAATATATTTTCTATATTTCTATATTTCCCCCAAATATTTTGGGAATATTAGGGGGAATCTGGAGTAATTGAACCTGCTGGGAATCACAGAGGCCAAGCTGCTGGAGGCGAAAAAGACAAAGGGGCACCTGGGTGACTCACTAGGCTAAGCCTAAGCGTTTGACGCTTGATTTCCGCTCACGTCGTGATGTCACAGTTCATGAGATCCAGCCCTGCATCGGGCTCTGTGCTGACAGAGCAGACAGAGCCTGCTTGGAATTCTCTCTCTGTGCCCCTCCCCTGTTGTCTCTCTCTAAATAAATAAAATAAACTAAAAAAAAAAAAAAAAGACGAAATCTTCAAAACCGCAATCATCGGGCCTTACCTCCAGCCTCTTCTTCAGTAGCCAAAGCAGCACCTGTGGGTTTCAAGTGGCCAGGAGACATTAGAGAAGAAGACAGTGTGGCAGTGCTTAGGTGAACACCCAGAAAACCTAAAAGCCTAGCCCCAGGAACTTGGGGCCCTGTGTCGACTCTGGCACTTCTCTGGGGTTCACTCTCTGCATTGCTTTCCTTGACACCAGGCACTGATCCTCAGGTCTACTCTTTCAGAAAGGCAACTTAACACTACATGGAATTTCTCCTGCTGCCACTTGTTCTGCTGGCTTATCTCTGATGCCATCAGGGAGGCAGAGGAAGAAACCCAAGGATGGAATGTAGTGGTTCTGGATAAAGACAACAGACATCTACCGTGGTCACCGAAAAGAGCCTACTAGAAACAGGGAGTCAGCGGCTACTATTGGGCTAAGGGCATAGGAGAATCATAGGGCAAGGGACGAAGGGGCAATGGCTACTGAGACTGGCCTTCCTTTTGGATGAGGTTACAAAACGCAGGATTTAGGGCCGGGAGTGCTATTCTGTATAGACAGCTTGCTTGCATGGCTGGAGTATTTCTTAGGGACTCCGGCAGGACAGGTGCTGCTCAGCACGTCAGGGGTGTGCTGAGCATGGGAAGCTCAGTTAAACCGCAGAGCTGACAGCTGACCTGAAACTGAGGGCAACCGAGGGCCATGTGGAGAGGGCTGTTCCCTGTAAAGTCCTGTTGACTCCTCATTCCTTTGGTCTTCAGCCTTTGCCTGTTTTCCTTCTTCACCTTTACAACCCCAAATATTTCTGAGCAGGAAGAGAGAAGCCATTTGCAGAGGTCGGAGGTGACAGCGACTGCGTGGAGCTAGGAGATGGGCTGGAGGAAGAGCTAGGCCGAGGGTGGCAGCAGGACACGACACATTCCTGGATGGTTGGCCTTTCTAGGGGGAACCAGGCAATGGAGAAGCTCAATTTGAGTACCCAGTTTTTGGACCTCTTCTCCTCTCTGGCTGTATTTACTCTGTCTCATCCACATTCTCATCTAGGCTCATGACTTCAAGTGCAATCTATTCCCCAATGACTCCCAAGTCTTTCCTCTAGCTGGAACCTTCTCTCCCGGCACTCCAGTCATGAATACCCAACGCAACACCTACACCTAGATGTCTAATAAGGTTTGTGATATCCGCCCCCCCTCAAATTTTCATCTCTCCAAGACGCAATGACAATTCCATTTTTCCAGGAACTTGGGTTAAAAACTGGATGTTACCCTTGGCTGTTCTTTTTCTGTCTCTCAGTTCTTCAGTGTGTCTAGATCACCATACCCAACTCCTACCACCTTGACCCAAGCCACCTTCATCCCTGGCCTGCATCGTCGCAATAGTCTCCTGTCTGTTATCTTCACTTCCATTCCTGTTACCTTGTGGGTCTGTAATTTGTAAAACATGTCAAATGATGTCTTTCTGCTGATTAGATCCCTTTGACGGCTTTCCTCTCTCTCAGAAAACCAAAGTTTTCACCAGGACTTGTAAGTTCTGTGGTCTTGTTGCTTTCCTTCCCTCTCTGATCTCAACTTCTCTTTCATTCACTCCACTCCAGCCACAAGTGCCTCCTTCTGCTTCTGAAACACCTAAGCATGCTTGCTGGGGAATTTTCCAGTTGTTCTTCCCTTTGCCTGAACACTTCCACCCCCACCCCCCACCCCACCCCCGGACATCTAAAGTGGCCGGCTTCCTCACCTTCTTCAGGTTTTTGCTCAAAAAGTCTCCTCATTAGTCATTTCCCTTGGCCATGCTATTCAAAATTGCAACCCCAATTTCCGGCACCCTTTCCAGCTTTCCTTTTCTCAGTAGCACTTACCAGCCTATGACCAACTATGTATGTGTTTATTATTTTTCTAATGTTTTATTTCTTTCGGAGAGAGAGACAGCATGAGCAGGGGAGGGTCGGAGAGAGACGGAGACACAGAATTTGAAGACAGGCTCCAGGCTCTGAGCTGTCAGCACAGAGCCCGACGCTGGGCTCTAACCCACGAACCGTGAGATCATGACCTGAGCCGAAGCCGAATGATTAACCGACTGAGTCACCCAGGAGCCCCTATATATGTGTTTATTACTTGTATATCTGCAACACCTGGAACACTACCTGGGACGTGGAAGGTGTTGAATGAATGAATGAATGAATGAATGAACGAACGAACGGACGGACGGACGAAGGAAGCAGGCCAGGGAACGGGGAGCTCGGCCTCTTTACCCCAGTCACTTCCAGGCATAGGTTGGCCGACCAAGTGGCTGCCTTGTTGCAGGGAAAGACAAGCTGAGGCCCAGAGCGGCGGTGGCTGCCAAGGTCGCCCCGAGGGCGCTGACAGCGCGGGGAGCGGGGCGGGGACCTGGGCGGGGCGGACGCTGCGCCTGCGCCGTAAAGGGCGCTACGCGCACAGCTCCTCCGCTAGCTGCGTGCCGCCCGCCCCCTCTTCCTCTTCCAGGCACGTCTCGGTTCGTGTACCCCACTGCTGTCGCCATGGCCGCGCTCACCCAGAACCCGCAGTTCCAGAAGCTGCAGCATTGGTATAGCGAGCACGTCTCTGAACTCAACTTGCGCCGCCTTTTCGAGGGGGACAAGGAACGGTTTAACCACTTCAGGTGCGTGCGCGGGGCCACAGGCGGGGCGCGGACGTGGGGGACCCGGATCCGGGGGTGCGGGGCGCGGCGCCCCGGGTCAGGTGTGCAGGCCCGGGGTCAGGCCGGCCGGGCCGGCGGTCCCCCGGGGTCCTCGGCCCACCCCGGTCACGGATCTGGGCCCGGGCCCAGGCCCCAGCTTGTCCTTGACGCCTCCTTGAAGTAGCTTCCTGGGGGCTCGCGGAGGTCTCCGAGCCTGGCTGCTTAGTAAAGAGAAGCAGGCCCCTCCGCCGTTCTCCCTCCGCTGGGGCATCTCTCTCTTCACCTCCTGTCCCCGCCCCCCACCCCCCACCCCCAACCCCCAACCCCTGTCATTTGAGAAGGGACTCCTTCCGCAGTTGTGTGCTGGGGCCCTAGCTGACGCAGCAGGCTGGGAAGGGCTGTCCCCTGACCCCCGCTCCTGGCCCAGAACGGGCGGGGACGCGGGTGGGTTGCGGTCTGAGTGGGCAGGCCTGCGGGATTTGCGGGGAGCCGCGGAGAAAGGGTGATGGGGGGGATGATTTCTGCGAAGGAGGCTCGGTGTGCAGACCTCTGCACTACCAGGAAATGGAAAGGAATCAGTGGGAGGAAATCTTGGGGGGCAGGAATTTCGGGGTGCTCCGGTGACTGGTGCAGGTGTGTTGGGGAGGGGAGGTCTGCCGCTCCAGACTAGAAGCCCCATGGCCAGCCCTGCCCAGAGTCCTTTCCCAATTAAGTCGAGTCGCAGAGTGGAAGCTCTAGGAGGGAACGGTCACTGCACGGGGTAGGCAGGAGCAGTGCGCCCGGCTGTTTGTCTTCCCGGTTTTAGCGGAGGAGTGGCTCCTCGGGAAGGGTCTGCAGCTCCTTTGTGTGAGGGTAGCCCCTTTCGCTGTGCTGGTGTGGCTGCAGGTCAGCTTGGTGGGCAGACAGGTGACAGCACCGCTGTGCTGAGCAGCGGAGGCTTGTTTGGGGTGTGGCTCAGGGAGGATGTTTTTTTTCTGGATGCAGCTCTGGTCAGGGAAGGGGCTCTCCTGAGATATGGGGTGTGGTCAGTGGCTTCTGCCATCTTTTTGCAGCTTGACCCTGAACACCAACCATGGGCGTATTCTGGTGGATTACTCAAAGAACCTTGTGACCGACACTGTGATGCAGATGCTGGTGGACCTGGTAATGTTCTACTGTGGGGGGCTGGACCTGTGACCCACAGCATGGCACGCGAGCCGGGCTTCTGGGAACCTACAGGTCTTTGAGCAATTTTATTTCCTCTTCTCAGAGGCCCTCAGTCACTGCCTCTGTGCCAACACGGGGCTCTGAGCTCCTGTTCTCCCTTGCTCCTACTCTGAGCAGCTTCCAGGGGACTCAGTGCCGATGTCTGAGCAAACCCTTCACAGGCACGGGGGGGGCGGGGCACCAAGCTGCAGCCATCTGTCAGCCCCATTGGGGCTGCGTTCTAGAGCTTGGTGGCTTGGGTCCTTGGTTGCCAGTGTGAGTGGGGTCAGGCCTCAGTATCTTCTCTCCCCAGGCCAAGTCCAGGGGTGTGGAGGCCGCCCGGGAGCGCATGTTCAATGGTGAGAAGATCAACTTCACCGAGGTGAGCTGGCCTGGGGATGGCAGACCCTGCGTGTCCTCCAGGGCCTCTTCCTTCCCTTTGGGGTTCATTTGACTGAGAGCATCACACGGTGTCTTCACCTCTCCTCTTAAGCAATGGTCTTGCCTAACGAGGGGCCCGAAAGCCAGTTTCCTTGAGTGGGTTGCAGGGCCGTGGGGTGCGTCGTCCCTAAGACCGGCGGTCTGGATCTGGTGAGGGTAGAATGGCCCCCGGGGTCTGCCCAGAGAGCACGTCCCAAGCCTGCAGGGAGATGGCGTGTGCTCAAAGAACTTAACTCTGATCTGTCTCTGCTCTCGGTTTTATTAGTGAAGAGAGGAATCTTAGGACATAAGATCAATATCCTCAGTGGTCGGCATCAGGGAGAAGCAGTGCCACAGCCAGGCCCTGGGGGCCTGGCTCCTGAATTGCCGTGGAAGCCTGGCGGCAATAATAATCACCGAGTGCTTAAGAGTCTTAGCCTCGCGGTGTTATTATCCTCCTTTACACACGAGGAATCCGAGGCTCAGAGGGCAGGTCACTTATCCAAGACGTCATACCTGGAAGAGACAGAACAGGTGTCACACAACCTGTCTCACTGCTGGGCTAGGCTGAGGGAGGCTGCAGTTAAGGGGGGCTTCCTGGAGGAGTGCGTTTTCTTCTGGAATATCGGACAGGAATGAGGTTGGGCGGGGTGAGGCCAGAGGGGCATGATGTCTTCCGCCTTAGTGAATCTCTCCTTGGGTGGGGGTCCAGAGACCGTCTCTTTCCTGTTCGCCTGGGGTCTACAGACCTGTTTCCTTCAAGGACTCCTCTGCTGGCTTCGGCTTGACGGGACTGTTCCTCTCACATGACAAGGACAGCTTCTTGGCACCTGTCACAGGCCTACAGTTTGGTTTGGTTTCTGGCAGTCGGTGTGATGGCACCTCCTGGTGAGGGACACTTGAGTCGCCTGCTTTGCTCCGCGTCTTTACTCTTCAGAACGTGCCAGCAAACACCACGTACACTCGTGGAGGAGAGGAGATGAGGCCTAACAAGCCCTGAGCTTCTGAGCCTGTTTATTGCTTGTGTCTTACCTGTTCTCATTCTCTGCGTGCTCTGTTCCTCTTTCCTTGGCTTTTCATGCCCTGAACACCTAGGCACCCCCTGAGCTCGTCGTGGTCTCCCTCCCAGGGGACTGTAGCCCAAGGGAGCAGCCGGTGCCCTGCCTCCTCTGGGCCCTGGGGAAGCCCCTGCTCCCAGGAGCACACAGCGGATTCTCAGTACGAGACTGTGGTACTAACCACCTCAGGGCTTGCGTGCTGCATGGGTGTCCGGTGAAGAAAGGGCCGGGCTGACTCCTGGGCGGTGTTGCCCCGTGCCCCGCTGGGGGCGTGGCTGCCCTGGGTGGGAGGGGTCTTCACGCGCTGACTGCATCCCATCCGCAGGATCGGGCGGTGCTGCACGTGGCCTTGCGGAACCGGTCAAACACTCCCATTCTGGTGGACGGCAAGGATGTGATGCCAGAGGTCAACAGGGTCCTGGAGAAGATGAAATCTTTCTGCCAGGTAAGCAGCTGCTGCGCTGGACTTGCCCTTGGCCATGTGTGTGCCTGCGTTTGAGACTCTCGCGGCCTGGATGGGCCGCCCCTCCATTTTGCCCGGAGAGAACTCAGGGCCTCGTCGCAGCCTGAGGGGGAGGCGGTCTGTGTGATCAC